ACAAGACTCTCAATTAATGAGGTGAGTTGTGCTCTCTCACAGTATATTGGGAGATACGCTTCTGTGGCTCTTTAGAATATTTAGGTTGATGGAGTAATGTAATACGTATGTGGCATGTCATCCACTTATGACACATTCTATTCTCGCTGATCACGGCTTGGGTAAGATATCAAAGTACACTATCGGTTTTAATATGATATTTCAATCTAATAACATAAGTGCCACGGAATAAATGCGTTAATATACCTTTTAGGTGAAATTAGAGCAGTCTCCTGGTTATCTGTGTGTGTCTGCCTATCTGTCTATCTGACTGTCTTGTTCTTTTGTCCGTCTGTTTGTTCGTCTGTCTGTCTTTATTATCCATCCATCCAGCTTTGTTAAATCTTTTTCACTTGCAATCGGTCATTTTTGAAGAAGAAGATAAATGACTTTTCAAATGAAAATATTTGGTTGTATAACTGTGATTTATAGAAAAATTATTTATAGTCAGTATCCACTTCTTCCGTACCTATGAAAAGGAGTATGGTTTGTCTTTGTTTCAGATAATGGTCGCTGCAAAGATTATAAACTTGGTTCCCTTTCACGCTTATTTTGCCATCAAAGCAACCAAACAGCATAATCTCAACGCACAGTCCTTTAGTTACCGCAAGCTTAATGGCATTACCATTAATAAGAGAGACTTATTAAGAAAATCGAAATTAACATTTCAATAATGATATCCAGTATCTTGATTGATTGGCAAACCATTTGCCATTTTTTCACTGGAAAATTAAATTTACAAATTCTAAAGATATGTGAAGCATGATATTCATTTAAAACGTTCATTCTGACGTTAATTGTTTTAAAGCCATATTCATATAAAGAACATCACGTGAACATGCAAAAATAATTATCTTAAAATCAATATTCATATTCGTTGTCACTTAAATTCCCTAGCGTCCATTGCTATCTTTGTTCCTAATATCCTTCTTCCTAAAGGGTTTATGACACAGTATCAAAATTTATTTTATTTATTCATTTTGATGTGTTACTGAGGCATTTGTACAATCATGAGCGACTGATAAATACACATAAAAAAGCAACTTGCCAGCTGATATTTCTTAATGGAGGAAAACAAATTGAAGAAAGGGCAACAAGACCTTTGGAGGTATCGTTTCTTTGATAAACACTCTCACTGTAGCTGCGCATTGTTGTTTATGAAGTAGAATATTTAGTTCAGATGTCGTTTCTGCAAGTCTCCCTGCAGTCTTCGCACCTGCCTTGTTTATGACGCACCTTCTAATTAACACTGTTGTTAGACAAATCTAGAAACAGAAAACGAACTCCTTTCATAAGGCAGTCACATAAGTTCGATTTCGGAATCATTATAACACTTTCCACGTGAACGTTAAGGAACAATACTGTAATTTTCGGTATCTTAGTAGGTGTAGCATCATTCGCACAACATGATGTCAAACGATGACGTACTCAAACGTTCAGGTTTGCGGTAAAGAATCAGCAGTGTTGATTCACAACATAATAGATAATTGTAACGCTGCGTCTGAGGTTTTTGCATCCAATCTGACATTTCATGCTGCAACGCCAACGCAGCGCTAAGTCTAAAACTGCATGTTCACAAATGAAAAACGTGAAAGCTTTCCTGGAATAAATGACAAATGCAAGGGCGAGTCCCAGTAAGTGTTAAATGTCGGAAAGTATTTGCCTCAAAAATAGAAAGTATCCCAGCTTTTTTTAGCAACATAATACAGCGCTAAATTTTTCTTATTGCGGAACGAGTGAAGCTTTCAAAATTGTTTCTTGGGACGTACTTAAACACAACTGCAAAGTTCTTCAAATTAGTGACGCATGCTACCAATACGCGAATCAGACATCGAAAAAGTGAACCGTTTCCAAAGGAACGCCCTGCCTGCACCGAGAAATACAGTGAGCACTCGTCTGAACGGGAGCAGCTCATTAAGTCCTAACTCCATTATGTGGTATGGTCGACTTTAAACAAATACGTTAAGTGGGATATGCTACAGTTTCTTCGAATTCACATAGGTAAAGTCATAATATACAGTATGCTAATATGTTTCTTTTACACCACATAGACTACTGTTATGCAGTATCCTTTAAAACCGTTTCATTTATTTACTATTATTATCAATTTTCTAAATCTTATTTTCGACAATCAACCATAGATTCCATATACAACTATTTAAATTACCTGCGTACACTGTTAAGAGATTGCATAGAAAACTGTACATAATACAAATCGAGGTCAAATGTGCTATTAACATTCATGGCCAGTTACGACAAGCAGGCAGAAATACTTTACGATATGGTAAATTAAGAGCGACTCAAGGTGAAGCAGACCATAAGATGTCTTATTACCGTTTGAAGCTCTCTCTCTCTCTCTCTCTCTCTCTCTCTCTCTCTCTCTGCCACCATCAACCCATTGGAACTCTCGTGGGCCTATTGTGCATGTAGCCGTCATCATGCGGAAGAAGCAGTGGTGGACACACACACATACATACACACACGCACGCACATGCAGAACGTTGATAATATTATGATGTACGAACAAAACGAAATAAACATGCAACATCCCAAATGTACAGAAAGGTGATTAAGTAATAGTAAAGGCGGTTATTATATTAAGGGATACACGTGTAACACTGAATGCCCCAGTTTTGCAAAACAAAACCAACATGAAAACAATACATTGCACTTCATAGAAGACGTTTAGATACCTCTTACGGTTGTATAAACAATACACAACCCAAGAGCAAAAACAGGAAATCCGTCGGTAGTTCCTAATGCTGCGTCTTTATTGCTCTACGGCTTTCAAGTTAAAGCTGGGATTTATTCAGGCATCAGTATGACAACGAGCGTTTCTCGATCTCCTTCCGTGTATATGTCACAAAGGCTTTTCTAGAAAAAATTGCGAATAGGTTTCGAATCCAGATCAGATGCAGATGCAAGCTGAACAAATACGGAGATAATGTTATGATTGAGGGGGGGGATAACACTTAGAAATGGATCCCAAGAGGTAATAAAATCGACCGCGAGGTTGACTGGAAGGTCGAGTTCAAATAATTCTAAGAAACCGAATATAAGTCGCTGATACATTCGGATTCGATTGTATCGGCGTAATGATATCAATAACGACAACTGCTTTTCATTCTGATCAATGTCAGCAATAACAACGTATTCAAATTCGCGAGGAAAGATGTACATGGCGTCACGGTTGGAATGATAGTGACACAAACGTAGCTGATCTGTGCAATTTTGTATCATATATTCATGAAAAATAAAGAAAAGAAAAAATACAAGAAACAGGATTGTTAACAGTGACAAAGATAACTGAGTTTGAACTGACTATAGGGTGAGTAGAAAATCATTGGGCGTTTCTTTATCCTTCGGTGTATTCAGTGACTCGTTATTGGTGGGGTTTCTGGAGTTAAACCCATTGCCACCCATTGCGTGTACCGCTAGAGTCTTTCCGGGATTTTCAGGCCAAATAGAATTTTCCTCGAGAAAAAGGCGATTTACTCGTACTCACAAATCATAGCTCGACCTTTCCCAATACTTAGATTCCTTTTTTATACCAATTCTAATTAAATGATTCAGTTCTAAATGCCTAGTCAGAACTTTAGACCGCCGTGTTTTTCTGAATATTTCAGAAGGAAATGTCGACAACAGGTACCTTTATTTGAGCGGTTTTATCGTTTTTAAGCTCTGAATTGGGAAAGATAAGTACTTTTGCAGGACATGTAGACATAGAAAATATGACTATGAGATATCTGTATAGAGCGGGTGCTTGGTGTTGTATACAGATCTGTGGTATTGTATCATATCACTGCCATGAGAAGCCTCAGTTTACAGATACTTCTATCATTATGATACAAGAGCAACTTTGACCGACCAATAATAGAACTGCCACAAAGAATGAAATATCATGAATTTCCTAGATTTAATTACTTCTTACAGACCAATCCCCGCGTGATCTATCGATTGAAGTTATGGAAAATAGGTATCAGTCGATCCAAAATCCAATGCAGGGTTTCGACGCTGGAAATGCTGTAATGGCTTAAGATCAAATGGCATGGATTCACCCTCTCTCTCTCTCTCTCTCTCTCTCTCTCTCTCTCTCTCTCGTGTGTGTGTGTGTGTGTGTGTGTGTGTGTGTGTGTGTGTGTGAGGGAAAGAAAGAGACTACACGTACATGGGCATGCACGTAAAAATAAACCAACGTATACATATGTGACTGTAATATACAAATGTTTTAAAAATACTGTTAAAGTTACCGAAATCATTATCCATCATCTTATAATTCTACCTTTACTATCTATACATCACTGCCGTATTTATAATCACAATTAAGGCATACCAACACAGGAAAGGATACAAGCCATAACCTCTGGCACATAGTATAACGAGGAAATTATTAAAATGGCAACCTGATATTGTAGGGTTAATTATCTTGTGGCCAAGAAATGGCCAAGTGTCAAAGGTCAGTTAACTAAACATAACATGGTTATATTGCATATTCCACTTTTAATAAAGACAAGCATTGGCAGCAAGTTCTCTCTCTCTCTCTCTCATTAAATTCCCTGAAACTGGTAGTCACGACTCCATGTTACTGCATACGCCGATATTTAGAAACTCTTTCTGAAGCATTTTGTTACGCATGCGCTGTAACTACAGGTCAAATCAAAGCACTTGGGTCATACTATCACACCTTTTTAAAGTTTTATTGTTGGCACACCTGAAGGGTAGGAATACTGCGCAAAATTCGCAGCGTGCATTTTCACATTAATCTTGGCTAACAGCTCTGAAGCGTCTCATCGCCTCTTCTGTTGCGATTTAAAACCAATCATTTCAGCGATGCAAGTCTCCAGGTAGGAATACACGGGAAGGAAGTTTGGTGAGCAATAAAACCCAATAATAAAACGAGGGGTCAAGTACCTGGTTAAATATATCAAATTATCTACTATTACAAATGCTACGCTACATACCCATATGTAGATTGATGCACCTGGAAACAAATAAAACCGTTAATATATTTTTATTATGAATGCTTGAAGTCTTAACCTGGCCTAGCATAAGTATGCTCAACCGGCCTCTGATTCACAATTAGCGTTCCAGATAGAAAGTTATCATAGTAAAAAGGAAAGACAATGAATCCTCGAAACCGGTTCTGCATCTGAAGGCGAAATTAATGGAAGACTCACGGCGACAAATTGTGCAGCTCATAGAAACTTTCCTCATTTCCTGAATGTTCGTTCAGCTGGCCCGCATACTTGTTTGATTTTCTAAAGAAACAAATAGTCAAGGGTTTGAGTAATAGGATAAGATGATTGAATAATCCAAACTTTTTGTGACGACAGGGCACGGCCTGTAAAACGACATGGTGGGGAGGATAATTTAACTCTTCGCAGCAGTAGAAATAGCATCGTTACATCGACACTTTCTGATTAAAATAAATGAACAAAACGTATTGCCAAGATGAGATGCCTACTAGAAGTGCCCAAGACAATGTTACTTGAAATTAAATGTACCCAATGACAGTCCCCATACGCGTAAATAAGCCAAAACACAATTCCCAAAGTTTTTTCTCTATCTGTTATGTAACGTTCTCTAAGGTTCTTAAAAACCTTTCCGATTAGAAAAGTGTTCCTTCCACTATATCTACGTGCATATGCATCTTCATGATGATAATGAACCTTTGCAAATTAATGTGCAATTTGTACTGCCCTTCATAAATTAATCATTCGCTGGAAAATATCATCCAGAGTAAAGGTCGAAACCCTTTGAACCACACTGTCGATATCAATCCAAGCGGTTTTAATTGGGATGGCGGCGGGGGAATGGATCGGTCAATCAAAATGGTCGGAGCTTTGTTGGAATGTTAAATTCTAAATAGCTGCTCTCCAATGATATGGCAATGGAGTTCCTGCCTTGAAATGTAAATCGTTATATCCAAGGCATGCGTCTATAAATGGGCACATCAGAAGTTACTTGCGATAAATTTCGCCCCAAAAAGTTCCCAGAAACGAGAAAATTTATTAACTGTTTAATTGGCATTGGGTTCCAATTCGAATAGAGACAGTTTCTCTGGAGGTAAATGCCACGAGGCTAAGGGCAAATGAACCATCGCTATTTCTAAACTCAAACCCTTCAATATCACTTGTGACACGTACTACATTCAAACCTTTATAGAAATGTGTGTATACTGTTACAATGCATGCGTTTTTCACAAATATATTCCCAACAAGCACATGGTCAATTGTAGGCCTACATGTTTATCAACCGGTATATATGTATGTGATTTGTTAATGCGGACCACTATAAGTATGGCTACAGTGCCCTATGCAAATAAGTTCACATAATTCTGTAGTTCGAACACCAAATACTACTGGTCTCTTTTCGGCCATAAAATCTGGGTGGAACGTTTTTAATATACCAGATGAGGCTATTACATTATACGATGTAATGTACATAAGTCTGCATATTTATATCTTTTCAATATCAAATGATATCTGGAGGTCTAGAAACATGCTAATCTGCTGTGGATGAACTTTTTCTGGCTTTACCATCTCTCTCTTCACCACTAAGTGCTTCCTACTTGATATATATATATCTGCTGCTTTGCCATCTTTCTTATTTTAGTGATTTGTACTCCAACAGCGTACTTTAACATGTACCGTTTAAAACCGCAGATCCAGAGATATTTTCTGACAGGCTTCCAAATTATCTTTATTGATCCATCCCTCTTTTTTGACCGTCTTCCGACAGAAAAAAATAGATACCCGTCTATGAAAACTTGAAAATCTGACCGTCTTCCGGAAGACCCAAAAGTCGGTGTAAATCCGCCCCTGTGAGTGAGTTTTCAAGCAAATAAGTTATTACTTGGAGACGACGGCCTCTGATTGTGCCCCTACTAGTACTTTACGATGCACGTCAATCTATTCGGCAAATGACAGGAATGTGTCCTTTTATCGTTTCGCGGTACAGCTGTCCAAACCTTAATCATTTAAAGCTTGTTTAATTATGCATTTCAAGCAGTTAGACACCTTAAACACCCTATGAAAACGCACTACTACATGTGCAAGTGCTACAAAGACTAAATAATAAACGTATACGAAAACATATAACGTTGGTAACCATGAGCTTAATCACCCGGTGAGAAAAGTGGTTTGTACGTTTTTTCAGACAAAATTAGTTTACTTCTTGTGACGATTTGTTGCTACAAAGGTTAAATGGATTGGCACCCTTTTAATGCCTTGAAAGGCCAACTCTTTGAGGTAGAAGACTTCTTTAAAGCCAAAACCGCTAAATCTGGGGACTGCATATATGTTATTTCAAGTAATAGGATTCAAAACATTCTTTCTGTTCAAATGAAGCCCAGTGTATGGCGTGCACCATACAGTTATCATTTAATAACAGGAGAGTAGCAGAGCGTAGAAAGAGGATCCAACGTGAACTTCCGTAGAGTACATACAGTATTGACGGCATCCCTTAAAATTCACAAACTAGCTACGCTGCCAATCATCCTAGTGATAAAGAAGCAGACAATCCCTGGGCTAGTAAAACGGTTTCACGCTCCTGTAATTAAGAATTATTACAAAAACATCTACACAAGTTGGCAGAGTTATAAGAGGCATTTTCTCACTAGCTTGTGCCTTGGACGGATTCGTTTTACTTGTGTAAGGTTTTACCTGTAATTTGAGGAAAGATTCCTACTAATTGGAACTAAGACTTAAGACACCAGCCAGGCAGCACGATCGTAGAAAGAACGCGGCGTATCTGCAGGAGAGGTACCTCTGCTCTTTCAGCAGCGTCAACCCTTAAGTCACCCATACATCATAGACATACTGTAAAAGGTCGAATAGAGTGGTTTTAATTGCGCTGTTTGCCCATTGAAGAACTTTTTTGAAAGGCGCCCTAGATTCAACAAGACATCAGAGTTCTTCAATCCGGAACTACAAAAGAGCATGTTTGTGAGAGTGTGTGTGCGCGTGTACGTGACCTTCCAGAATAGTGAATGTATTTTATACGTGTATCATGGAATGTAATAAATTGAAACCAACTCCATTTCGCTAGCATTTTTCTTGACCCATGGGATCCATGATAAATACTTTATGCGCAATTCATACTCGCTATTTCTCTGGCTGCACCGTTAGTTGATTAGTTTTCGAACATCAATTTCCAAATCTGTGGATTTTAGGGATTGAAAGCTAATTGCATATCTTTCAATGGATTCAGGTAACCAATAAAACAATGCGAAGGGAGGCTACATGCAATCCAACCTAACAGCACTAAAACAAGGAGAAAAAAATCCGAGTGCCACTACCTGCAATTTATTCGCAATTTTCAAAATTATCTTTATTCATTTATCTATTTGACCACTATGCAGTACTTTTGCGACAAATACAATGCATACATTTCAGACTCTCTGTGTAAAAGGAGCATGGCGCCGCATGTGCCTCTTCGGATAGAAACATTATTTCAGGCTTAGTGGTCAAATAAAATCGATCAAGTTTTTGCTGTATAACGGACCGTCTTCTAATGCGAAAGAAACCCATCTGAAAGATTGCCTATACTCCATGGATCGGATTTTGATCGCGTTTTCGATATTTTTTCTTTAGTGTCCAACTCCAACTTTTCCGTATTCATTCATTTTCAACACAATTTTCGGGATCAATTTTTGAATTGTTCGGACTTACTATCTCTCATTGGTATGAATATTTGTGCCATGTCTATCTCGACTTTCGATGTTTTATTCAGACTTATTGAAGGTCAACTTGGCACTTTTACTAGTAAATCATATAATGAATACCACTCAGCAAAGGCCTTCCTTGGCTGTTCATAGGATCATTTGGTCCTGTATGCTACTCAATCATAATTTTGACCAGATATTAAAACCAAACAATGTACAGGTGTGCTCATTGTAATCATCATAAGTACTACTGTACTACTTATAAAGATGTTGAACATCGAATTATCCTGAGTACATGTAAATTGCCGTTTGAAATAGTGATCATATTAATTTGTTAACCATAATCTTATCCTTTTGCTCATTTTTGAAACGTCATATTAAAAAAATTTTGCCTTATAACAAATTCTTATATTCTTTCTTTAACTGCAAGAGTTACTTATCAACAAAAAATACTGGTATTGATTCATTAATTTTACATATTCCATTCTGAAATTCCCTCGACTAAATTTGCTACCAGTAGATTACGTAATCAATTTTAGGCCACAGTTTTGCTCGCGGAACATTTGAGCGGCTGTTCACTGACCCAGATCGAGGTTGGCCACAGGGGTACCTCAGATGTGTCACTTCTGGGGGATTTGTGTAGAAATGATAAAAATAATCATTAACGTGAAATATTCTCAACCGCATTAGAGTCGACAAACTACCTCTCAGATTGGCAGACTGCGTCCCAGTGGTGGTTGATGGAGAATACAGATAGCTTACAGCAAAGTTCATTGTACAATGTACATATACATGTACTTTTGTATAGCCCTGTTCTTAGTAAAATGGATGTGCTTTACACTGGAGTAAATACCAGACTGAACTTTTAATACAGGAAAATTCAGGCAAAATGGCGGTCAACTGCCCATAAACAGGTTATTTTTAATTCAAGAAATATGATGAATGGCCTCTGATAACATACAGTATAATGTAGCAAAACTGTCCATCTTAAATGACTACCCCCTTCCCTCACATCTCTTCTCATCCAACTAAAATGGTTGCAGTGCCAGGCAATTTCGTATTGATTTCTCAATACATATTTCAAAATTTAGTACTGAAAATCTCTGAAACTGCAATGAGTACAAAATCGATCAATATAACTAACATTTGTTAAGCGATCCCCATCCATACTAACTAAAATTAGCTGATCTTTTGAGGAGAGCACGTTATTATACAAAGCTATATTGTCTAAACGGTTAAAACCTTTATTTTAGATGAAAGTTAGATGGCGGACGTCAAACCTGGAATGTGGATGGACAAAAAGAGACTCAATAGAATGCGTTGATGTATATCATTCGTGACGATGCTTAACCGATGTTTTCTCATATTGTCGTATAGAGTAGTAGTGATAATGTCCTACGAGTTCTAAACGGGGGAAGTACAACATCCCTTCATCTCTCTCTCTCTCTCTCTCTCGTACGTAAACTGAGAGAGAGAGAGAGAGAGAGAGAGAGAGAGAATTCGGAAAAGTAACATGATTAGCAATCACATGACGAATTAGTAACTCTCATGTCAAGCACACACAAACACACTTGCGCGCGCGTATCTGTAGTGGAGCTGCAATGCGTCGGCAAAGAAACCAAACGGGCTTCATGATCCGATTTCGTGAGTGTCATCACAGAAACCTGCCGCGAAATATATTTTCTATCTGCGCATATTATGTTATACATTTCAGTTATCAGACCACCGTTCTCT